TGCACAAGGTCACGACAACCAGGGTAGAGAGTCAGGAGTTTCTTCTGTATCTCCCATGTGGGTGGCAAGGGCTAATTCATTTTGGGTTACCTCCCACTGCTTTCTTAGGTGCAGGGAGCTGTATTTTAAGTGGAGCAGCTGGGATTTGAATTGGCACTCATATGGGTACCAGAGCTGTAGGTGGCAGGTTAACCTGCTGCACAATGCTGAAAGCCAGAACTGTTCACTGAGGCACTTTAATAAGGGCTCTGACATCCTGATCAGTGTCTAAATCACTGGGATGAATGCATGCTCCTAAGCATACAATTTCACTTTTTAAAAATTATTTACTTATTTATTTAAAAGGCAGATGACAAGGAGAGACAGGGGCACAGAAAGACAGGTGGAGGGAAGAAGGGAGGAAGGGAGAGAGAGAGATGGAAAGAATCCTCCACCTGCTGGATTATTCCCCAAACGGCCATAACAGCTGGGGCTGGGCCATGCGGAAGCCAGTGAGCGGCCAGGAACTCCATCTAGATTGCTCACATAGGTGGTGAGTGCCCAAATGACCCACTTGGGATGGGCCAAGTGATCTGCTTCCTCTGAGACGTTTTAGCAGGAATCTGGACAGGAAGTGGGAACAGTACTCAATCCCAGGCATTGCAACGTGAAAAGTGGACCTCCCATGCAGTGGCTTAGTCTATTGGAGCACAATGGCCACACCCTAAGACTGTAATTCTAAACATTTTAGGGGTATAAGTCTGTGACCTTGTGTATATTCTCAATGCTGTGAAGCCATCACTACTATTTTTTTTAAAGATTTATTTTATTTTTATTGGAAAGTTAGATATACAGAGAGGAGGAGAGAGAGGAAGATCCTCTGTCAGATGATTCACTCCCCAAGTGACTACAACGGTCGGTGCTGTGCCAATCTGAAGCCAGGAGCCAAGAACGTCCTCCAGGTCTCCCATGCGGGTGCAGGGTTCCAAGGCTTTGGGCCGTCCTCGACTACCTTCCCAGGCCACAAGCAAGGAGCTGGATGAGAAGAGGGGCTGTCGGGATTAGAACTGGCGCCCAAATAGGATCCTGGTGAGTTTAAGGCAAGGACTTTAGCCAGTAGGCCACGGCACTGGGCCCCATCACGATTTCTAAAACATCTCGATCACTCCAAACAGAAATTCTGTAAACATAACACATTAAACCCCAGCCCTCATTCCTTTCAGTTCATGGTAACCTCTAGTTAGTCTGCCTTTTCTCTGTGAATTTTCCTCCTCTATGAATTTCATATAATTGGAATCATACATCTTTTTGTATCTGATTTATTTCATGGTTCTTCCATGCTGCAGCTTGTGTCAGAACTTTATTCCTTTTGATGGCTAAACAGTAGTCCACAGTATGTATGTACTGTCACATTTTGCTTATCCATTCATCTGTTGCTGGACATCTTGAATGTTTTCACGTTTCATATAGTTTGAATAATGTTGCTGTAACAGGAGTGTGGAAATATCTGTTTACATCCCTGCCGCTGACTCTTGTGGATCTATCCTTAGGCATAGAGTGCCAAGTTATATGGCGGTTGTGTCTAGTTTTAGAAAAACTTCCAGCTTGTTTTCCATGCCAGTGATAGCACCGAACATTCCCACCAGCAGGGCGTAAACCTTCTATTTTCCCCACATCCTCATCAATACTTACTTCTTTCTTCAAAAACTTTACTATACTAGTAGGTTAAGTGGTGTAGCCCTTGCAGCTTCTACCTTCCATTTCCTACAATGATGTTACGTATCTTTTCACTGGCTTATTGGTCACGAGATGATCACCTCTGGAAAAAGGATGTATGTAAGATCTGAGCTCGTCTTTTGAACAGGGTAGTCTGGGTTTTGTTGTTGGGTTTTTTTTGTTTTAAAGATTTATTTTATTTTTATTGGAAAGGCAGATATACAGAGAGGAGAGACAGAGAGGAAGATCTTCCGTCTGATGATTCACTCCCCAAGTGAGCGCAATGGCCGATGCTATGCCGATCCAAAGCCAGTACGTGGGTGCAGGGTCCCAAAGCTTTGGGCCGTCCTTGACTGCTTTCCCGGGCCACAGGCAGGGAGCTGGATGGGAAGCAGGGCTGCTGGGATTAGAACCAGTGCCCATATGAGATCCCGGGCGTGCAAGGCAAGGACCTTAACCACTGCACCATCGTGCCGGGCCCTGTTGTTGCGTTTTATGAGTTCATATATCTGTAAGCTGGTGAAAAAGGCAAGTCAGTAACATGGCTCCACCAAAACCTGAAAACCTTGCCGCAAGAAAGCAAGTGCTGCACCCGGTGGAAGTGATGAGAAGCAGGGGAGCCCAGGGCAGGAGTTTTGGAGCAAGGTTAGAGGCCAGAGAGCCCGGAGGACCAATCTCCACTGGAAGGGAAGGAAGGGTGCCAACTCCAGCAAAGACACACGGGAAATTCTGGTTTGCCTGCACCAGGTGAGAGTAGTTCTTCCTTACTCGGTCGCACATTGAAATACCACTGTCATTTGGAAACATCTCCCAGACACACAACACTTTCCCAGATGAGTGCCCATGTGTCCAGTCAGCTTGAGACCTGTCTCAGTGTCTTTCAGGGACTTCAGCTGTATGTCACTCTTCATATAACCTATGTCAATATCACGCTGTTTTGACTACTGCAGCTCTGTAGTTTAACTTAAAATCACAAAGTCTGAGTCTTCCAATTTGTCCTGCTTCTTAAAAACTGCTTTGGCTATTAGAAACTCCTCAAAATTCCATAGGAACTTCATGATTGGCTTTTTCCATTTCTGCAAGACAGTTTTCTGGAATGTTCATAGAGCACAATGTTGTCTGTTGTTGAGGAATTTCACATTTTGAGGCAGCTCCTTGGGATCCGTATATCTGATATGGGTATGTGTGAGTTCAAGTCCTGGCTCTGTCTCTATCACAGCTTCCTGCTTATGCACTCCCCTGGGAGGCAAAATGTGATGGCTCAAGCACTTGGGTCCCTACCACCCACGCAGGAGACCCTAATTGAATTCCTGGCTCTTGACTTCAGCTTGGGGGATTCCCAAAGAAACTTCATTTGAGGTGATCCCAGATCTGACTGTTGCGTGTGCATTCCATTACAGGGTCCGGAACAGTCTGTCATCCAAATCAGCCTATGCATACACTGTTACTTGCAATTGCTAGATCAGTTGTCTCCAGCCCTGTCTTCTACGCAAACTAATGGGTGTTGCAGTCCAGCCCATGCATTCTAATTCTTGTGACCCATCCCTATCAGAATATATTTTAAAATATTATATTCATTTTTACTGGAAAGGCAGATATACATAGAAAAGCAGATATGGAAAGAAACATCCTCCATCTGCTGATTTATCCCCCAAGTGGTTGCAAGAGCTAAGCCAATCTGAAGCCATGAGCTTCCTCCAGGTCTCCCATGCAGGGTCCCAAAGCTTTGGGCCATCCTCCACTATTTTCCCAGGCCACAAGCAGGGAGCTGGATGGGAAGTGGAGCAGCTGGGACAGGAACCGGCACCCACATGGGATTCTGATGCAAGGTGAAGACCCAGTCACTAGGTTACTGTGCCATGCTGCAACCCTCCAACTTCTCTCTTTCTCATTTTGGGATTTCCAGGTCTGCACTCGCTCCCTGGCAGTGGTCCTGCTGGGCCTTACATAGTAGTAACTCGGGCCAGCCTCCTTACAACAGCCTGCATGTGTACAGTGCTGGACGGCTGCCTGTGACAGACAATTGTGGCACAGTTCCCTGCTATCATGATTCAGTGTCCCATAAGCCATCGCTTCTTCTCCAGAGGCTGCTCCAAAGGAGTGGACCACTGGGCCCTAAGTCAGGTTCCTGGGTAGTCAGCCAGGTCTCCCTGCAACCTCAGACCACCACCAAGCCCCTCCTTGTCTCTGGCCAGGAACAGTCCTGAATCTTCTGCCATCAATCAACCGGGTCCCTAAACCTTGTTCCCCACAAGGCTGGTTCTTCCAGGAAACAGCTGGGAGGTGTGCTTTTTGTGTTTTAATTAATAATGACCTAGAGGTGGTGGTGGTGGTGGTGGGGGGAGGTTTGTGGATTCTGGTGGGACAGTGGCATGGCTCAACTGGCTAAATCCTCTACCTGCAAGAGTCCTTGGTGTCCTGGCTGCTCCACTTCCCATCCAGCTCCCTGCTTGCAGCCTGGGAAAGTAGTGAAGGTCAGCCCAAATCCTGGGGTCCCTGAAACCTATATGGAAGACTCAGAGGAAGCGCCCCTGACTTTGGGTTGGCTCAGCTACAGCCACTGTGGCCATTTGGGGAGTGAATCAGCAGATGGAAGCTCTTTTTCTCTCCCTTTCTCTCTGTAAACCTCTTTCCATAAAAATCAATACATTTAGAAAATTATTTATTGGGCGATGCGATGGGAGGAATACCTCTCATTCACTGGCTCACTCCTCCAAAACCCGTCTCAACACGGAGCCGGCAGTTCCATCTGAGTCACCTACTGGGTGACGGAAACCCAGGGACCAGAGTTGGGATGGAAGGCGGAGCCGCGGACTGGAACCCAGGCGCCCTAAGAGGCTTCCGACTGGGCGCGTTCCAGTCACAGAACCTCCCCACGGTGCTTGAGGCTTCGAGTTCTTCCCTCTCTCCCTCACGAACCCGATTCGGATGCTAACCCTCTCCGGAAGCAGGAGCCTCTCCCTCGTTGTTTTCCAGTTCTGTCACACCACCGTGTCTGCCCGGCGTCTGCGGGGACCCCGCGTCTGGGTGTGCGGGACGAGCGAGGCGCTAGCGGTGAGCGCGGGCCGGTCCTTCCGGAGTCGCCTTGGGACCCTGGAGGCCCCGCCTCCCGAGCGCGCCCACGGGCGTGGGGGAGGCCGCCCGGCGGGACCAGCCCTGGGGCGACTTTGGACCAAGGCTGCGCTGACATTTCCCCCCTCGCCGGAGCACTTTTAGTACAGTCCGGGGGTTCCCCTGCGCCGCCCGCCCCCGACGTCACGGAGTTCCCGCGCGGCCCGGTCCCGGCGCGGCGCTGTGGCCCGGGCGGTGCGCGTCCCGGCGGCGGCGCGGGGAGAGCGGCCATGGCCGGGGCCGGGCCTGCCGGCGCGCCCGCACCCCGCTGGAAAGGCCACATCATACGGCAGCTGCGGCAGCGGGACCGCGCGCAGAAGGCGCTCTTCCTGGACCTGGTGCCCGCCTGTGAGTGCGCCCGAGGCTGGGCCGACGGCCACCGAGGGGAGAGGCTCTGGGCGCCGGGAGAGGGTTCGTCGGACTTCTGGGGCGGGGATCCAGGTGCAGCAGCGCCCCGGCACCTTGTGGCCTCCGAGGCCGTGTGCTGTGCCTTGGACCCGTCGGTGACAACCAAGTCTTGACTGTCCGGGAGGCATGCACCTGCCGGTCCGGATGGAGCCGCCTCAGGGCCCTCGGACTGGACGTCTTAGTGCGAGTTTTCCCCAAAATGTTACTTTTGTGGCGGTGTTTCACCTTCCGTCCCCCGGGGCAGTGCGTTTTACCTGCGTAGCCCGTTGCAGAAAAAGTTGAGACTTGTTGAAAAAGTGATGCCCGGACTCTCTTCCCTACCGATAGGTGATATTTGGGGAGTTGGAGGGCAAAGGTCAAGGGCCCCAGGCTGAGAAGCAAGCTGGTTCAGGCCCAGGCAAGTCATTCTCCCCACAGTGGAGTTGCTTCTGGGTGCCTGCGTGTGTTCCAGATAGGATGCTCAGTTGTGCTTTTGAGTTTCAGGACTCTATTGGCCTGAGGTCGCAGAGCGGTAACCCTGCCATGCCCTCTGGATGGCTTGCCCACGGAACTAGCCTTCCTGTGCACCCTCTGTGCAATCTGCCCTTACTCCGATCCATTCTTCTGTTGCTGTAACAGGGGAATAGTGGAGGTTGATGGGAGAAGCACGCTCCCCCGCAGCACCACCACTCTGTGGGATTTGCAGGTCTGAGGACCTGGAGAGACTGCCGTAGCTAAAGTTGACTGCTGCAGAGGGAACTCGGTCATCTCTGTGGTTGTGGACAGTGAGCCTTGGGCTTCATACTTGTGCACTGGGCACCCCGAAACTTTCTTAAGATGAGCTGCGGGCCTAGTTCAGCGTATTCTGGGTATGAAGGCCAGCCCCAGGGAGTTCCACAGGTAACTGCTAGGGCATTGGATAAGGGGAGGTAGCTGAGGAGCCAGGCCTGTGCTTACCATCCCCTATGCTGTGCTGGATCTGGTGAGAAAGAGGAAGTGTCTGCAGGTCGGGGGTGGAGAGAGGTGTGTCTCAGGGTCAAGCCACCAAACCTAAGTAGGTCTGTTGGGCAACTGCCTGAGGACTTCCTATTCTGGTGGTGGTGAAGTGGGGAAGTGAAGTTCACTCTTCAGCGCAGAAAGTTAGAGTCCTCCTAGGGAAGTGACTTCGGGTGGATCTCTGGAGGGGCAGGAGCCCTCAGTGAACAGTGCCCAGGCATCCTTACCCCTGGCAGAGCAGGTGCTCTGATCCTGGTGGGGCCCGGGGTCCATGACCTTAGGGGTGCTGAGATCCAGCTGTGTGTGAGCGGACACAGAGCACAGCCCCCAGAGGTGTGCCAGTTCTCAGGAGCCTGCCTGGCTGAGGGTAGGTTGGGTGGAGCCTATCTCTGCCCCAGGCTCCTGCTCTTGGCCCTGCAGATGCACGGCTCCTCGAGAAGGCTGAGCTGCTGGCCAAGTTCTCCGCAAAGCCGCAGTCTGAGCTGAGCGATGCCACTGCTGCTACCTCCCCCCAGAGTCCCTGGTGAGTGAGTGTCCTATCCATGCTCACAATGACCAGCCTGTGCCCAGTCCCTGCCCCCATTGCCTCAGCTGGGTTCAATGACCTCACTCTGGCTGCTGCCCAGGAGTGGGGATGGGGAGGTTAGGGCCTGCAGAGGCCAGCTGCCTAGAATCTTCTTTCCCCTCTCCCCACTCAGTCCATCTCTGCAGTTGTGCCACCTGCGCTCCGACCCTTTGTACTTCTGTCTTTGCCCTTTGCAGGCCTTTCCCACCCCCATTCCTCATCTGATGCCCACGGGTTTGCCTTGCTGCTTGTTCCTAAGAGGCAGTGGAGATGAGGGCTGGGCGTGGCTTGGGGCTCCAGGCTGGGGGGCTCCTTTTTGACAGCGTCCCTGTTGCTCATTTCTTTGTTGGCTGCTGGCCTCCCACCTCTCTCTCTGGCCCCTTCTGGGATGGAATCCTTTTGTGTGGCCTCCCTGGGGGGCCTCTGGCACTGGGGTGGATGTGGGGACTGTGAACACCTCTCTCCCATTGGCTGACAGGGAGGAGGAGGAGTTCAGGCACAGCTCAGACCCACTGCCAAGGCTCACCGCCCTGAGGGAGAAATGGCATCAGGAGGAGGAGGGACTCCGACTGGTCTGCGGTGAGGTAAGTTGGGTAGGGGGCCTGAAAAGGGGGTGGGGAAACATGATCAGGGAGCCACCAAGAGGGGACACTTGCTGTGCTCACGGCACCTCCCACATTGAACACTATAGGCAGTCAGTGAGCCCCAGTGTGTGCCAGGCAGGCCCTGACTTGGAGCTGGCCAGGGGTTCTGGGTGTCTGGCGGGCAGGAGAAAGTACCCTCCTGCAACACTGTGGGGATGGAGGGGAGGAGGGAAGGAGAAGATGGAGGGAGGCCTGGAATTCCCAGGTCCCCATTCCCAGGTGACGGAGCCTGCTCTGGCCTGCCCATTCTCACCCCTTGCCCAGGCAGCTTCTGCGTCTGGTACCAGCTGATGTCCAAGGAGGGAGGCCCCAACAGCCCACCAGCCGGATGTGGTGCTTCCACCTGACACCCTTGTGCTGTTCTGCCTGGCCCCGTACTGTGTCTCTTGGCTTCTGTGTCAGCCCCCTCTCCTGGGTTCCCTCATTTCTGAGGCTGCTGGGGTTCCTCTCCTCTCCCCTGAGCCCCACCCTTTAACTGCAGATGTCCTTGGAACTTGGGTGGGCTCCTGGACTCCCACGGCTTCAGGGCTTTCTCTGCTTGTTCCCAGACCTGTCTCCAACCCTATCTCCTCTGCTGTGCTTCCCTCTCTTACTCAGCACATTTTGGACACTGCAGGCAGCATCAAGCTCATCTTCCAGCCCATAATAGAATGTCCGAAACCTAGCAGGAGTTGACTGCCTGCAGGCAAGGTTCAGCCTAATCTCAGTGAATCCTCCTTAACTTTATGGCTGAGAAGAAGTGGAGCCAGCTTCTACCTTTGGTCAACAGATGGTTAATGATAACTGCTGTATTCGAGGAGCAGGTGAAGTACCAGTTAGTGATGCCTGCTCTGGGGCTTTTCTGGTCCACTGGGGAATGTGCTAGCCCAGTAAATCGACAGCAGTTAACAGCATGCGAGTGGGTTGACAATCGAAGTGAGCCAGAGGTGGGAAGGCAGGCCTTCAATGCTGGTTAGGCGTCTGCATCCCACACCCAGGTGCCTGGGGTCAGGAACTGGCTCCGGCTCCTGACTGCAGCTTCCTGCTTTGGAGGAGCAGTGACAGCGCAAGTAATTGTGTTCTTGTTTTGAGTTCCTGGTTGCTGAGTTTGTCCTTGGCCAGCCACAGCCGTCAAAGCCACTTGGGGAGCATCTCTGTGTCTCTGCATCTTGAAGTTTAAGAAGTGAGGCTGCCCTTATGAGTGAGCTAAGCTGCTGCCTGCAATGCCAGCATCCTGGACCAGAGAACTGGTTCAAGTCCCAGCTCCACTTCTGATCCAGCTCACTGCTAATATGCCTGGGAAAGCAGTGGGATATGGCCCAAGCGCTTGGGCTCCGATGCACACATGGGAGACGTTAATGCAGCTCCGAGGTCCTGGCTTTGGTGTGGTCCAGCCTGGTTGTTCAGACCACTTGTTGAGGGGAGTGAACCAGCAGATAGAATCTCTCTTTCTTTGCCTTTCAAATAAAGTAAACCTTTTTATAAAAGTATAGGAATGGGCTGAAAACTCCTTACCTGAGAGCCTTTGTCTGTTTCTGCAAGCTGGTGTGTGTGTGGGAAGGGTGGTTCTCCAGCGTCTGAACTGCTCCTGGGCCATGAGTGCCCCAAAGTACTCACTGTCTGCCTCTACAGTGACCTGGGGCATCCCATGCAAAACCTGAAACCTACATGAGCATTGGCTTTTTCATAGTCGTGGGGGCTGGGTAATGGGATAGCAGATCCTTGCTAAGAGGCCAAGAGGGGTTGGAGGTTGGTGTGAGTCCTGCTGTGGCGCCTCTGCTCACCTGTTTGGCCCCTTCACTGCCCCTAGATGGCCTACCAGGTGGTGGAGAAGAGCGCAGCCCTGGACACTCTGGAGGCGGAGTTGGAGGAGCGGCAAGACAGGTGCACGCTGGTTAGGGTGGGGAGGATAGCTAGCCCTTGTCCCCTTGTCCTCAAACAAACTTGTGCTTGGCAACAGAGGACTCGGATGGTGGGACTCTGGGGGTCAGGGAAGGCTTGGAGAGCTGGCCCCGTGGCTTTGAGGCGGTCTGCGCCTGAAGCGGGTTATGGGGCGGGGGGGTGGGGTGGGGGCGCGGAGCGCAGTGACAGAGGTGTCTGGGCACCCAGCGTGCTTGCTCTCTATGCCCTGCAGGCTGGCCACCCTGGAGGCCCGCGTGGCGCATCTGCTGGAGGCGCGGGTGCGGAAGGCCGAGCAGGTGGAAGAGCGTCGCGCGCAGAATGCGGCGCAGCGGGCGGCCTACGAGGAGCTGCGTGTCCATGTCGGGCTCCAGGAGGTGGCACTGCGCCGGCTGCAGGAGGAGGAGCGTGACCTGCTGGAGCGGCTCATGCAGCGCAAGGCGCGCGCCGCCGCGGAGCGCAACCTGCGCAACGAGCGTCGAGAGCGGTATGGAAGCTTGTCCCGCCCCCTGCGGGGAGGGGAGGAGGCTGGCGTCGTCCAGGTCAAAAAGGGAGGGCTCCTGACCCCCATCCTGTAGGTAGGAATGGGGGAAGGTATAGGGTCCAGCCCGGCCTGTAGTCGGTGTCCCGCGTTCTACCGTGTGAGGCACCACATCCGACCCTTAGGATACCTTACATCCTTGCAGGGCCAACCAGGCGCTGGTGTCGCAAGAGCTGAAAAAGGCGGCCAAACGGACCGTGAGCATCAGCGAGTAAGTGGGGATGGCCCTGCCCCAGAGTCTTGTGGTGGAGCAGCCCTGCTGGCTGCAGGTGGTGACAGGTGCACCGGCCTGCGCATGTGTGTAGCAGTATTCCCGGGGGCCCTTCACATTTGTAGAAGGCACAGAGGTGTGTGGTCCTAGACCCAGCCACATGCTCTACGCAGTGTACCCTCACCATTGGGAGTTCACATGCTCATTTTCACCGTGTCAAGCCCTGATGTAGGGAGGGGCCAGCCTGAGCCCTTGTCTTTCTAAGCTATGTTTCTTCTGCAGAAGCCCAGACCCGCTGGGAGATGGCATCAGGGAGGGACCCAAGACTCTGGCCCTGGCCTCCAAACCACCGTTGCTGGAGACTGAGGCCTGTGAGAGGTCGAAGAGGCCTTTTAGGTGAGGGCCAAGGGGCTGCCCCAGAGCTCTGAGTGGGGCCCAGCCCACCTGCTACTAGAGTCCTCTGTGGCCTTGGGTGGCAGTTCTTGGCCTGGGAAGGAGTGTGGGGAGCTATAGGGTGCAATGGAGACCTCCTGGGGCTGGTCTGATCTCTGGTGCCTAGAGTTCCTTGGGGTCAACACCTCTTCAGGGACCCTCAACCCCTATCCTTGTCACCTCCCCTCTCCATTCCCCACCCCCTGGGTCCTGAGACCAGATCTCCGGGGGTAGGGCAATATGCTTGTGAATGACTGTTACTAGGAGGGGAGCTGTGGGTCAGGTCTAGGGCTCAGCCATCCTGGGCATGTGGGCATAGGTGTACACACAGACACAGGAGGCTGCCTGGGCACACCTGAGTGTGATGGTGGAGACGACCTGACTGCACTGTCAGTCCTTGGGTTCTCCCTGCTCCGTTTCTCCTGTCCCCCTTGATGTGCCTGCACTGCTCTCCGCCCCCCCAGGTGAGGGCTCTTCTCAGTCTTTTCTTGCAGTCCCCAGTTTCTAGCTTTGGGGCAATACATGAGATAGTGGTCCCCCAAATCCTTGACAGCTCTGGGGGAATAGAGGTGATTCCCATAATGTGGCTAGGAAGAGTTGGCTTCCCAACCACTTTCCTGCACCCCAGTGATCCCCAGCTTGGCTTCCCAGGAACTTTGGTTTGGGGTGCACTTGGAGGTGGGTGCTCTTGGTCACGTGGAGGCCTTGGGGTCCTTGGGTGCCAGGTCCCTCTGCACCTGCACCTTCCTGCAACCCTGCTGGTCCCAAAGGAGCCAAGCTCCTGTCTCCAGCTGGGGAGGCAGGGAGCCACCAGGGCTGTGTGGTGTCACTTGCAGGCTGCTACGGTCCCTTAGAATGTCTCTCGGTTTCGCCCCAGGTCTGCCTCAGCCACCTCTTTGACACTGGCCCGCTGTGTGGATGTGATGAAGGGGCTTCTGGAGTAAGTGTGTATGTGCCTGTGTGTGTGCGCCCTTGGGGCTCTGAGCTAGTCTCCCAGAGCCAGGCCAAGTCAGTGTATGCGCTTCAATCTGTCTGTCTGTGTGGTGCCGGTGTATGTGTGTGTTTTGGGCCCCAGAGCAGGAACCTGATGTGTGGCCTCATTCCCATCTTGTGCCTAGCTACCTGCCAGCCTCACCTTTTGCAGTGTCCTCAGAGGGGACAATGAGCTCTAGCCTGTGGCCAGGCAGGGAATGCTGGAGACTTAACAATGTTCGAAATTCCCTCAGCTTTGCAGAGCATGCCAGTGGCAAGGCCAAGGCTGAACTCTGGCCGTGCCTGTCTCTGTGGGCCCACTGCTCCCCCTCCCCCTGCTGACCCCTGGCTCGGGGAACATCTGGGAATATCTGGGAACGTGCTCATTGTCCCTGCGGCCCTGCTCTGCTACCTGCACCCGTCTGCTCCATGTTGCTGCTGCCTCAGAAGAGCTGGGTGCTCCTGACCCCATCAATGTCAGGAAGCTTTGCTGAATGCCCTACCTCCTGCCCCCTCCAACCCCAACCACCTAGTTTCAAGAAGAGGAGGGGCCACTCAGTTGGGAGTATGCCTGAACCACGCTACCGAAGCATCCCTGTGTGTGTGGCCACCCACCTGCCCACCAGGGCCCAGGATGTGCTGGTAAGACAGGCCCCAGCCCACATGGTAATATGGGCCCCTGGGCCATGTGCGGAGGCCAGGGATCCGCCTCTTGCTGTGGGGGCCCTTTGAGCATGCCATATCGGGAACAAGGATGGCGAGGAAGAGACAGAGGGCCATGCAGGGCTGTGGGGGACAACAGAGGCTGCCAGAGGGGTTTAGGCAGGGTTGAGCAGACCCATGGGGGGCGTGTTTGAAAGTCAAGGTCTGCACAGAAAGACCTGGGGTAAGGATACTAGGTCAGCCACAGGCTGCACAGAGGTGCCCATGGGAGAACCAGGGCACTGATGTCTCCCTCTCCCCATAGGACGCCCACCTCTCTGAGGTCAATGCCGTGTGTTTTGGCCCCAACAGCAGCCTGCTGGCCACTGGAGGGGCTGACCACCTTATCCACCTGTGGAACATTGTGGGAGGTAAGGGTTCCCCCACCTCCTCCCCGCACCCCACCACAGGCCCATCAGTACTGTCCCTGCAGACCCTGGGCTCACTAGTTCCACTTGGGGCAATGGGCTTGGACCCTGAGTTTCTCTGCTGGCACTGTGCCCAGCTGTGGTGGCTTGGCAGGCAGGCGTCTCAGCAGAACTGGACTTCTCAGAACTTGGACAGCAGATTAAGGGTGCTAAGCTACGTGATCTGCAAAGGGCTGGGCTGGGGGGTCACAACCTGTTCCTTCTGGCTGGCTTGGCCCCACTTGGGTTGTTCCTTCTAGCTGTGATGGTGATCCCTGCTGGCAGTGAGGAGAGGTGCAGCCTAGATCTTGGAATGGACTCAGTGCTATTTTGACCTTGCCCTTGGGAGCTTTTGGTCTTCTCCATCAGTCCCAGTCTCTATTCCTTGATAGTGCCCTCCTTTCACCTGTGCGCTCTCCTGCTGCCCCCTCAACAGGTCGTCTGGAGGCCAACCAGACCCTGGAGGGAGCTGGTGGCAGTATCACCAGTGTGGACTTTGACCCCTCGGTGAGAGGCATGGAGGCTCTGGGGCCAGAGGGCACATCCTGGGTATAATGGGTGGGACCCTTGGGTCCTGTATGGCTTCTCCCTGCCATATTAGACTGGGCCAGGCGGCTCTGAGGCAGTCCCGCTCAGCTGTCCGGCCTGGGAAACACTCAGGCCCTTCCTTTCTACTCCTGTTTCTCCAGGGTTGTGAGGTTTTAGCAGCAACCTACAACCAGGCTGCCCAGCTCTGGAAGGTTGGGGAGGCACAATCCAAGGTGAGCCCTGACTGTGAAGCAGTCTGGGGAAAGGGGTAAGGGTGAAGGTCATAACTTGAGACCTAAGGAGGTCCCATGAGGTCATGGCTATGCTTTTGATCCATACCTGGGATGGTAACAGGAGACACTGTCTGGACATAAGGACAAGGTCACAGCTGCCAAATTCAAGCTAACAAGACACCAGGCAGTGACTGGGAGCCGGGACCGGACAGTCAAGGAGTGGGACCTCGGTCGTGCCTACTGTGAGGCCCCACCTTGCCCCCGACCCCACTGGCAGGGATCCCCAGGCCTGAGTGTGAAGGAGCTCATGCTGCTTTCTGGTAGTGGTCCCCAAGGCTGCTCTCTCCATCCCCCATCCATGCTTTCTGCCTGGTTTCTTGGTGACCTGTGGCTTTGTGTGGGTGGAGAAGACTGGGGAGCAAGCCTGGGCTGGGAAGCTGGAGGCCTGGGTTCTAGGCTTGGGTGGATGCTGGTCTTGAGGGAAGGTTCCCAGCAGCCCTGCTCTGAGGCTCTGGCCTTTGCGTCTGGGTTTCCAGGTTCCAGGACCATCAATGTCCTTTCCTATTGTAATGACGTGGTATGTGGAGACCATATTATCATCAGTGGCCACAATGACCAGAAGATCCGCTTCTGGGACAGCAGGTGAAGGGCACAGGCTGTGGATGGGGGAGCAGCCCGGGAACAGGACTCTGAGTCTTCCTTCCTTTCCCTGCCCATGGGTGGGGGGAGAGAGGAAGAGGACGGGTCATAGGGACTTACATGGAGTGCGGGGTTGTGCTGGGTCCTGCAGCCAGAGAGAGAAGAGCCTTTTTCCATGCAGATGCCACTTTGTCATCTACAGGGAAATAGTTTTTTGGTCATTAACCTAAGAGCCCAGAGTTGGGCTTGTGTGGTTTTAAAAGGCAGAGCTATAGCTAATGCTGGGCCTGGCCCAGGCTTTCCTTACTGGCCAGTGTAGACTGCCATTCCACCTGAAATCCCGTCCCTCACCCTTTGTTGACTGGAACTCCATCTAGGGCTCCCTTGGGGGTGCAGGGATTCTGTGATCCATCATCTGCTGCTTCACGGGAAAGCAGCAGGGAGCTGGATCTGAAGTGAAGCAGTCGGGACGTGAACTGATGCTGTGATGGGAGATATGGGCATCTTTTCATTACTTTTGGCTCTGGTGCTTATTTTAATAATTCAGAGGTTTCAAGGGCTCTGGCCCTACAACTGTCCTTCCATGGGGAGATTATGGTGGGGCAGGGGAGGTCAGTCATTTTTGGCTGTGGTCCTGAGGTGCCCTTGGACTTTGTTAGCTGGGAAGGCCACTACACTCCACCCTACCCATCAGGAGTGGCCTGGGAAAGTACTGTTGCTCATCCGTGTTTCTGTCCTTGCTCCTCAGGGGGCCCCGCTGCATCCAGGTCATCCCTGTGCAGGACCGAGTCACCTCTCTGAGCCTCAGCCCTGATCAGCTGCATCTGCTCAGCTGTTCCCGTGACGACACACTCAAGGTCATTGACTTGCGTGTCAGCAATATCCGCCAGGTGTTCAGGTACCAGCCTGTGCCTGCTGGCCCTGCGGCCCTTACTGAAGCAGCTTGGCCTCTCCTCTGTAAGAGGCCCTCAGGGGGTTTTCCCTGGACCCTGTCTTGGCATAGGAAACTTGTGAAGTGCCTGGCTGAATAGGAACTGGCAGCTCCCTCCCTCCTGACCTTGAACATGTCTGTCTGCAGGGCCGATGGCTTCAAGTGTGGCTCAGACTGGACCAAAGCTGTCTTCAGGTAAGTGTAAGCGCTTATCAGCGCTGCATGTACTTGTCTGATCCTGTGCGAGTCCTCCCTCTGATCCCCTTTCTCTTGCTGTGCTATGGTCATTGCAGCCCAGACAGAAGCTATGTGCTGGCGGGCTCCTGGGACGGAGCCCTGTACATCTGGGATGTGGACACTGGGAAGCTGGCGAGTTGCCTTCAAGGACCCCACAGGTGAGCATGACCTCCACCTGCCTGCTGGTCCACCTCAGCCCTCATCCCTACTATAGCCTCTTATTCCTTACAAGGTTCCTTATGTACTTGGCTGCTCTTCGTTACAGCACCCATTTTATAGACCAAGGGACAGGCGCAAGGAGGCGTGTTCTACTGCCTAGGGCTAACACTGAGGGGCGGGGATGGGTGCCCAGCTTCCAGAACGCCCCCTGATGCCTGCTCTCCCTCTCCCTCTCCTCAGCGCTGCTGTGAATGCTGTGGCCTGGTGCTACGCAGGGAGCCATGTGGTGAGCGTGGACCAGGGCAGGAAGGTGGTGCTCTGGCACTAGGGCCACATCTCACCCTGCCTGGGCAGGAGCTCTGGTGAGAAGTGCAAGGCTGAGAATACTTCCCTGTGCTTGAACCAGGACCAGCGGGGGTGCAGGAGACCTCTGAGTTTAATGGGGGAGAAGGCCTGGCGGGACCTGGCCTATTGGTTTAAAATCGGGTGGGTTGGCAGGATTACAGTTTTGTTTTTTAAAACTCTTGTCTCCTCAGTGTTTCACAAGTGATAAGGGAAAAAAGCATCTAAACTGTCTGCTAACGTCTTTGCATCATGCAGAGCCCAGAGGCCTTTGGGCTGGGGGACTGGGGACACTCAGGCCTGGCCCTCTTTCCTCCTGCACAGAGCTGGGGCAGGGCCATCACAGACTTGCCTGAGCAGACAGGTGCTGCTCAAGGCTAACTGGGGATGGCAGGAAGAAGGGCCTGGAGGTAGCAGGAGCTGGTGGAATGTGCCCCTAGGAGCAGCCTGGTCCCAAGGGCTCTCCTGCTTCTGGCACCTAGGGTAATCCGAGGCCAAGGAGGAGCTGAGTCCTGAGGGGCAGTATGGAAGAAACCCACAGCAGTCTTTGTGGACAGAGCAACACCATGCCTGCCTTCAGACTGGGCTCGCATTCTTCCTGCAGAGATGGAGTGAGTCTTCACTGGGCGAGGGCAGCCTGTGGTTGGGCCTAGGCCTTCTTAGGTTGGCACCAAATCTAATTCACACAGTGAGCCTCTGAGTAACAGGCACAGCTGATAGGGCAGAACTAGGGCACCCTTAGGGCTGGACACAAGCCATACAAACATTGGTTGAACAGCAAATCTACACTGTGCAGTCTAAATTATTTATCTATTCCCTTGAGCTCTAGACCACAAATTAAGCCCCCTCCTCCTGGCCATCATTCCCACTTGTGACCAGATCCTGTCGCTGAGGCCACTACAGCAACCTTCCAACCTGTATTCTTGCATGGCCAAGTGATTTTCTAGTGTTATGGTCACATGCTGAGTCCCTTTGAAGGTCCCTGGGTGCCATGAGAAGCTTTTCCAGTGCATGCTGCATTTTCTGTTCTGAATGTGCTTCTAAATGCCTTGCTCTGTTCAGAATACGCTGCTTCCTGGCTAGCTCCCAGTTCAAACTGGGCTTTCCAGATCTGCCCACTGACAGCCTATCCCACACTGCCAGACTGTGGGCATCTCCCCTGAGCTCCCCGTTTATTTCTGCCCCTATTGTAAGTCAAGAGAGGTCTTGACAAAGGCCAGGATGGAAATGCAGATCTCAAGCATGGTTCAGTCAGTAGTTAAATCCTCTTGTTTAAGGGCTCAGCAAGTCTCCTCTTTCAGGACCTAAGGATTCAACACTTAGAATCAAGACTTGTCCCATTCCTCCCTACTCTCCTGCCTGGCTCCTCATGGCCACCAGGGGTCACCAGCAGGCTGGCCTCTGCAGAGGCAGTTCTGCCTCCAGATTGGTGGTTCAGAAGCCTAACACTGCTAATAACCACCATTACTGAACCCTTGTGATGTAGGTGCTCTCTTGGATGGGAGAAAATGGGCTCTGAGAGGCTGAGACACATGATATATATGTATATACATCCTTGTGTGCCTCATACACTCAAATGCCAGAACTCCTGACTGGACAGGGCTGCAGAGCCCATCAACCCCCTTGGATCTGTCTGTCCCCTGCCTGACAGTCTTGAGGAGAGGCCTGTGATTCTAGCCTTGCCTCTAAGCTTAATGCCCACTTACATCTCCCTCTTCCATTCTGGCTCCTGAGCCTGGAGGGTTAGTGTCCCCAAAGTGTGGGACCTGCAGGAATGCAGGAGAGGGAAATGAGAGACTGGGAGACCTTAGACAAATCACCAACTTCCAGGGCCTCATGATCCTGTCCCTTCTACTGCCCCAGCCACATGACAGTTCTTTTCAGCCTCTGTTGCCTCTGTCTCCCCAAACCTCAGGCCTTGATTAGCCTGAAACCTCAGGGAGGGAGAAGTGACAGAAGCCACACTTCTGGGCCGTGGTCATTTCTCTGTCCTGGAAGGCATACACTGATTCCCCACTAGATTTGATCCCCTTGGGGATGGAGATGTGCTATAGTGTCCAGAATATGACCCATGGCAATAAACTACTAAGTGCGCAAAGAGCAACTGAATAGAGGTGGTGGCCTCAGGAATCCTGACAGTGCTGGTGGGGACCCATCAGGGAGGGTTAGTGTCCTACCATGCCTGTATAGGCTGTCTGTATGTCCCCTGTCATTGGTGTCTTGAGCATTTGTGCATGCTACTGGATCTTAGGATGTTTGTGTTCCAAATGTAGTGAGCAAGGCCTGCAAAGGTTAAGAGATGAGCCACAGTCAAGGCACACTGGAGGGACTGGGGCCCAGCTCTTTTTGCTGTGTCCCTCTGGTATCCCTGGCACAGCAAGGGTTAGTATGTGTCTGGTCCTTGGTGTCCAGGGGTGTGAGCCCTGCTCGGGAGTTAACTCTGTTGCCGTGTAGCATAAGATGTTCCAGGCGAAAATTCCCAGACCAGTGCTTGCAGAGACATCATGGTGGCAGCACAGTGTGTATTGTTTTGGTCACTGGGAGCAAGGGGTAAACAGTCCAGGAACAAGACGCTTTTTGGCATTTGTGTGGCTCTTCACAGATCAAGTAGTCACAGAGAAAACACTGGAGGAGTCTAGGAGGAAATGTATCTGGCTGTATCAAGTACTACAATTTTGAGACAGATTATAGTTCTGACTTAAAAAGTTTTGTATTCTCATTGCTTCTGTTGTGAAAAACAATTTTATAACAAAGCTAATGCAGAGGCTCAGAGCAGCTGGTTTGCCACAAGGCCACATGGAGAGAGCTCCACAGTAAACAGGCTCCCAAAGCCGAAGCTGAAGCCACAGCAGGGTTCTTTGGGCCATGGGTGAGCAACCTGGGTGTAGTCAGAGGCTGGAGGAGGAGGGCCAACTTTGTCACAGTCCAGGAGGCCAATGCCTCGAACAGTCACTGTGCTTGTCCCAGTAAGTCTGTCACTTTGCTCAAATGCTGTGACTTTTTTCAAAGCCAAGCCTATCAGAACAGGAGAGTTGGAGGAGTCCTCCCTCTTTTAAAGATGGGGTTGTGGCAGCTTAGAAGGAAAGGGTCCAGCAAGCAGTGGTAGGACTAAGGCCAGGTGACATCCTGTCAGTGTGTGCTGGGGTGGGGGAGTCAGAGAGAAGGGAACCAGCGATATGGTGTGAATCCATGGCTTGATTGTAGCCAGCTTCGTCGGGCAGAGGAGGCCAATAATTTGACACTGGGATGGGGAAAGTAACCCAACTCTGCTGCTGGTCCCAAACCAGCCTGCAGTGCCAATGTTGGTCTCTAACATGAGCAGCTTCTACACGCAGGGGAGGCACGAGATGGAAAATGACCTCTTGCTCATCCTGATTGTCTTTCGCAGGTTTATGGTAAAAAACTTCACATGCGTTCTTTCCCCTGGGCCTCCTGACAATCCCATTTGCTACTGTGTGGCTGGAGGACTAGAAAGGGTGCCAGTGCCAATCAAGGGTCCAGGAGTGTTTGTAGAGACTACCTTGTGCTATCCATTCCCTGTCATTGCCGGGTCCACAGCATTACCCACGGTTGCAGATGACAGTGCTGAAGCTCCGTCTTCCTGCCTGTCAAGTGGTGCAATCAGCATTTAACCCAGATGTTCAGGTCTGACTCCCAGGTGCATCTTGATATTGCCTGTTGCTGAGTATAAAGAGAATCCTTATGGCAGCTCATATGGCAAAATCTAACAAAGTTACATACAGAGATATATTTCTGACTCTCAAGTTTTACATTTAGGAATTTGTCAAGTATGGAATAGATTTCTATAAAAGCATGTACAAGGATGTTATTTGCAATTTTTCTAATAGCAAATGGCTGTAAACAACCTGAATACCCATCACAAAAGGAATGTTACATCCCAACTGGAGAATATAATGCAGGCTTACAATGAATGACAGAAACCCAAACATATTATGTAATCCCTCTCCTGTAAACAAGCAATGTGCACACAAATGAATTTTATACACAGAAAAATATCTGGAATATGCACTGCACATCCCCAGCTCTGGAAGGAGAGTTGCAGCCCTGGTCCTCAGGGTGGTTGGCTGGGAATGAGGGGGATTGAACCTTTACTCAGGAATTCTCTGTGCACTCCTGTGACCAATAAAATATTTTGACATAGTTCACTACTTCTGAGAGTGGGGGTTAGGACAGAGAAGAGCTCAGCAATGACCACTTCCTAGAAGGTAGCAGTCACAGCTTCCAAGGCAACCCTAGGGACCCTCCTGTGCCGTGGAGTGGCAGACTCCAAGCTCATGGTTCAGCTTGCCAGCATGTTCTGGGCCCTTCCCTACCTGCACGTTGCACAGCACTGACTTCTAGCTTTTGCTTCTGGGAAAGAATTGGAAGCAAAGGTCGTGATTTACTCATTTCCATCTCTACTACCTAGGATATGAGACTCGATGCCTCGGTGGCATCAAGGACTGCACACCACGGGTGGATGAACTTGTTTCCTGCTCTCTGCATCTGTTCAAGGGTTTAAACGAGGGTCCACAGGTGTAAGAAGCATGGTCTTTTTGGAAAAGCCTTGTTACCTGAATTTTTTTTAAAAGGAAACATAGAAATCATAATTGCATGTTTTTATTATTCAACATTTTATATATAATAAATACAAACTTTTTACAGCCACGGCAAGAAAGCGCGCCTGTAAAGAGGCCCTCTCCGAGCACTGCCTGTGCTCTGCCATGCTGGGTTACGTGTCCTGGAGGGAGGGCTTACTTTCCAAAAAGGACGCATATTTTTACAGGCTCGCTTTATTTTTTTAAAATAAAATTAGCAGCTCTTCCAAAAAGTATTTTAAAATCTAACAAAAGATTTCAAATACCGCTCTGAGGTCATGGGAAACCCAGATTCAAAGACAATTTGGCTAGCTAACAGGAAAGCACAGGACTGGGTGGCAAGAACTGCTCTGTCGAATAAGCACATGTCAGCAGACTTTAAAATCTTGAAGAACCACCCCTTAATTTCTTTTTTAAACTTAAGAATAAGTTTGATAAACACAAAAGACCTCAAATAGATCAACAGGTTAAGAAATGAAAACAACAACAACAAAAAAATCACTAAAATCATGGAGAAGATTCATCATCAGGTATTATCACTGAAGTGATCACATGACTAACTGAAAAATTGTTCCACGTTGACCTTACTTTTGGTTCAAAATCCCATGGGGACGTTTGGCGAGCATTTCAAGTTGTTTTTTTTGAAAGATTCTTAGGAGGGATGCAGTTTTCAACGGATGATTCAAGTTTTGGGCTAAATTCTGTAAATTTGATTTTTTAACAAAAATTTTTTAAAAAGTAACAGCTGAACTTCCTGTAGTCCACAGATGACACATTCCCTGCTGCACAGGGGTGAAGGGCCAGGGCCCTGGTGTGGGGCACTTGCTGCTGCATGCTCACTGGGCTGTGAAGCGTAACATTCTCGGTTCTCCCTGACAGAAGACACTCGTGTTGCCGTGTTACTCTGCAACTCTGCAGCATGGGCAATCCCGTCTTCCTTTCTCTTGCAAAGCAGGTTTCCTCCATGGGCCACAGGTTCTTCCTCCCAAAGGGATGTCAGGATAGTGGGATACAGAAGTTATATATTCCAAGAGTGTCAGCTGGTTTGGACAAGGTACAACCCAGCCATGTGGGCCAGTGCACTGGCTTGGGAATACAACAGTGCCAAGGGTCTTCCTAGTAGAAAAGCTCAATGATGGGGGTTGGTGCCTTCAATTTATCTGGGCATTCAGATTCTATAGGTGCTGGTCAGAAGAATGTATACTGCAAAATTTAGAATGAAAAATACCCAAATACAAAGAAGACATTAAATTGGCCCATTTCAGACCTGGAAGCTCCGTTTCTGCTTTTATTAGTCTATGTGATGGACAGGACGCAGCTCTTGGTTCAGCCCCTCATAATACCTCCATTAATACTAAATGAACAGCATAATATTAATGCAAAGAGGACACTGTTCTTTTAAATCTGTTAGTTGTGGAAGAGATGTGCGTTAATGCAATTGGTGCTAAAATCAGAACAGTTCGCCTTTTTTATTCTCCCAATAAATTTCACTTTCTTAGTCTGGGGACTAACTTCGGGGAGGAGCCAGCCTCTCCTGAAATCCTTTCTTATGTTTCCTTATGTAGCCAACTTGATCTGATTACTACTTAATCAGATGAGCAAAAGCCACTTGAAGAAAGATGAGAATCTGCCACATCTTTGTGGCCACAGTAATATACTGTACGAGTGCACATGATCAGTAATTCTGTGACTGTGCCCTGAACAAGGCCTGGTCTTGAGTCTCATATAAAAACGGACCACTGGTAGGCATGAGGGCTGCCCCCTCTCTGCTTCTAGGGCCCACAAGATTTGTGCTGTGGTAAGAGATGACATACAAAATGACAACAAAAAGGCACAAAATATCCAAAACATGGGAGGAGTTCTTCAGACCACCCAGTCACTTATAATCCTCCTTGTTTTCACTCTGTTCAAGAGTCATCATGCAAAGGTGCCTAAAAACAAGACTGGCCAAGCTCTCAGCCTGGCCTTGATTGTAGCAGTAACAGATGGGCAAACCCATCATCACACCAGTGTGATTTCCACATCCTCAATCTTCTCTGCTGGCCTTCGGTGGTTCTGCGTAGGTGGAGGAGGAGCTGCCCGGACCTGAGCAAGAAACAATAATGTGGACTGTCAGTTAGCTTCCTGATTGAGTGCTGTAGGTCATCTCAAATCGTAACCATCCATCTCTACCCAAACACGTGGGTTCCCTAGCTGTCTCATGCTCTTATCTAACCATCACCATTTCCCACACTGAGGAGCAACTGCTATTTTGGATGAAATGTCAAACCCATGAATCAGATTGCTGCCTAGGCTAAAAGTCCCATGGGTACTAGATTCGCTGTAGTCCTAACATCCTTCTCAAGCCTGGGCTGGGAGTAAGAGAAAGAAATGTTCAGGCAAGAAAGCCTCAGCTTGTCTCACAGGGGAGGTGGTCTGGGATTAGTATATGAGAACATCAGTGAGCCATGGTAAGAAATATGTTCTTTATTCTGTAAGCAAATAGGAGCTCCTGGTGACTTTAATCAGTATCAGACTTGGGTAAAGATGACTCAAGTAACAGTTTGGAGAAAAGATCAGAGGTGGGAAAGAGTACAGGCAGGATGACAAATCAGATGTTTAGAATCATCCGGATGAGAGGTGACATGAGTTTGAACTAAGGCACCAGTAGTGGGGGTGGTAAAGAAATGAACAGACTTGAGAGCTGTCTCTAAGGCAAACCCAGCAGAATTTGATAGCTATCCTATGCCAGATCTGAAGCTAGAGGGACCCTGGCACAGTAGCCCAGTTGCTTAAGTCCTTGTCTTACATGTACCAGGATCCCATATGAGCAGTTTGTGTCCTGACTGTTCTCCCCGCTTGTGGCCTGGGAAAGCAGCTGAGGATGTCCCAAAGCCTTGGGACCCTGCACTCATGCGGGGAGACCTGAAAAAAATCTCCTGGCTCCTGGCTTTGTATCAACTCAGCTCCAGATCAGCTCAGCTCCAGCTGTTGTGGTTACTTGGGGAGTGAACCAGTAGATGAAAGATCTTTATCTCTGCTTCTTCTTCTCTCTGTAAATCTGACTTTCCAATAAAAAAAATATTTTTTAAAGAGTGATGGCTGGCCAAAGCACAGGTAATGGTAGGGGTTCCAATACAGGTAATGTGGGAGAAACAGCATATCTGCAAGGGAAGATATTCAACACACTTTACAGGGTTTTGGAGGTATGGAACTTAGATCCTGAGACATAGAGCCCAGGGAAAAGGCTGCACGGATAGTTATAGATCTGTGAGTTATGGGAACATAAATGGTTGTCAGAGCTGTGGGGATAGATGAAATCACGCAGGAAGAGTGCATTCAGTGTCTCCTTGAGTACGGCCCAGGGACAGAACTATGAGAAGTACTACAGACATGGAGAAGCCAGGAGTCTGCAAAATCCGCAGAAAGGAAAGGCCTGAGAGGTAGAAAGCAAGATAGGAAAGTATAGGGAAGCAAATAAATCACTCTAGTTCTCTCCACTTCTAGTCCACTTACCAGCCAGTGCTAACATAATCTATTGCTTGCAGTCATCTACCACTTAGCTGCCATGGCAGTGTTAAAAATGCAAAGCCAGTCACCTTGCAATGGTTTCCTATCACATTTAGGGTCAAGACTCAAGTCCAAACAAGGTACTCAGGGCTATTCTGCTGAATGGAGGAAGGTAAAGGAAGCCAGCGGTTTGGAGAATGGTGTCAAATACAGATGAACAGTCAAGTAAATTAACATGGGAGACATCTTCTGGATTACCAAAGTGAAAGCTTTGACCCTGGAGTGGGTGATGGCGTAGGATCACGGTAGCACTGGCATCAAGAATGGGCAGAAGGAACTAGCTGTCTGATTATATTTTCCCTGAGAACAGGAGCTTTCTGAGGTGATGAAGTGTACCCTATTTCATTTCAGTGACTCTCAAAAAAGCAAATATGGGCCTGGGAATTAGGTTTTCAACAAAACTTGCTAAAAGAAAAGTGCTTCTGTTTAGAGCTTCTCTTTATGTTCTGAGGCCTTGTTCTAATGTAAATACACGTTTGTGGCTGTCCTCCTGCCATCCTGCCATGGCTCAGCGAGAAAAGCTCCAGTACAGACTAAACATTCCAGGATGAACTGGTTTTATAGCCTTCCTTTCCAATAGCTCTTTTCACATTCCCAAACCCATCTCACCCTTGCTTGGCAGAGTCAGTAACAACACAGAGAGACCCCAGGGGAACATTAATTTCTAACTGTCCATTTGAAGAAACTCTGTATTCTGTCACTTTGACAGATAGGGGACTTACAGGTCGCAGTTTGCCATATGAGGTCTCTGGAGTGTGCCTGGATGCCTGTGAGAATCCTGGTGATTCTGCATGGGGGCTGTTTTCTAAGGAAGAGAATCAAAGCAGCTCATTCTGTTTGTGTTGCTCAGCAATAAAAATGCTAATACAGTTCTGTGTGTGAATACATGGATTTCTGAGGTGAAAATGGATTGAGACCCATGCCAGGAAAAACCCTTACCATTTGCTGAAGGAGACCGAGGAAAGTACTGGGAACCCCTCTTGTCTGGGCTGGGGTATGGGCTGCTGGGAGGCTGGTCATACAGTGGCAGTGGAGGCAGCGAGGTGTGCGGCTTGGGGGAAGGAGAGATCTGCAGCAGAAGGAGGGATGGTTACCACGGACATGTCTCCCCTTCAAGAAAGCTGACTGATTCTCTGCTTTGTACACATTCCCTTTCCCCAGAGGGGATTGTGAAAACTTGCCAGCCTCCTAAGAAGCAAGTGGGTTTAAAAGAACTACCCCAAAGTTCTTTTGGGTTGCACTTAACTTTTTCCTCTTCCAGATTTTATTATGCTACTGATTTGAGTTTATGCTAGACAGCTACCAAGTCACATTATTTTCTACGTTTCTGTTGAAAACTTGCCAAAACTCAATTCAGTAAACCCAAAGAAGAACAAAAAAGAGGACAGTTTTTTTTTTTTCCTTGGGGGGCAGGGAAGCAATGGAGATAAGATAATTGGCTGAGTTTTTATTTTAAATGTCAGGCTAAATGGTCACAATCACCAGTGCAACTATGTAGGCAAACTCATTTCTTATTCCTCTTTGTGTCAGGCATGCTGTAACAGAATCCCCGAGAGGACAAACCAAACTGATTTCAAATCAGTTTCCTGTAAGGCAAGTTTCCCTCTGATGACAGTATCCCTGAATGTGGTAGGCAGGCAGTGAGCTAGGGAGGCAGGTTCTGAGAGTGTGGGAGAGAAAGCGCCAGCTAATTGTTGTCCTACATAAAACAACTACAGATACAACATATTCCCTCTCTGGTATTGTTTCCTCTCACCAAACCAATCTTTAGCATATCATACACAATTTAGCATTTTTGTTAGCCAGTTCAGAGAAAAGAACATGGGAGAGAATGGAGGTATAACTGGCCATATTCCAAGAGGACTCCCCAAATTTGGTTTTGCAGGCACCTTCAGTCGAGGACTAGGGTGAAAGAGTGAGACAGAGACCAGGCCCTCTTTGGCCTTAGATCAACAGATTCCCTGGAGTCAGTTTCTTTACACATCTTTTAATTTAGCCTTCCTCCCCTCTCCTGTACCTGAATCTCTTTCATCCAGGGAGTGTCACCATTTTCTGAGGCTGAAAGTTCTTCTACCAGCACCGATGGGAAAACTCCAATCCTTCCACTGAATTCCCCTTCCCAAAAGCCATCATCATCTTGGTTTTCTTTGTTCACGATGCGAATGATAGCCCCCTCAGGAAAAGACAGCTCATCATCTGTCTGGCCCTCATAATCATAAAGTGCTTTCACAAAACAGACTAGGGAACAAGAAAGAAAAACATATGGTAAGAACATAGACATAAAGGTGGCTTCTGTAACCACCCCATTGCTCACATGATAACCAAAAGGGCCCTACACATAAGAGCAGTAAGCTGTACTTCCTTACACACTGAGGACCAACTCTAAGGTTCCAGTGTATAGGATTAACATAACCAAATACAAGAAAACATTTCTAGCATAGGACAGCAATAAACTTGTGCTCTTTAACCTGCTGAAGGCTTACACTAGTGTATTACAATTCGAGTCCAATGTGACCAAATAAAGAGTGCCGTGCTCAGTCTTTACCACTGGCATCTCCGTTGAGGCTGCCTGAGATGAGTTCTGCTTCTGTGGAATTGCTGGATGTGTGGGACCGACTGTCCAAAGCGGCCAAGGACTGCAGCATGCTCAGCAGGCTGTTCGAGGTGGGGAACTGTAGGTACTTTTCTGGCACATAACCCACTTGGCCAACTTTATTTCGAGCCTGGGTAAAAGATATGTCATGAGACAGGTTTATATACACAAACTGAATAGCGAATGGCAAGAACCAAAACAAACTCCTAGAAATGTCACAAGAAGGGGCGATATGAGCAAAGGAATATACCTTTACCCAGTCTTCCATATCTCCATCTTCAATCACTTCTAACACCTCATGTTCCTCAATGGTCAACTCATCTGGTTGAGACGCCTGCAGTGTAGGATGGTCATGGACAAAATTAAAAAGGTTAGATAAGGAGCAGGTGTGTGCTGATTATAACAAAAACGGGATCAGAATACTGAAATGATTTTGAAAAGCAGAAAAAGTTAAATGCTGTAAAACTATCATAATGAAGTGAAGTTTTACTTTCAAAAAACAAAAATAAAATCACAACAAAAACTGGAGAGACTGAATCCTCAAGAGGCAGCTGGGTTCAGTGAATACAGCACCATGATGAAATAGAGAGAACGTGGGTTCCAGCTCATGTATCTATTGGCAAATTACTCAACTTGATGCCTTTTTTTCCTCAAATGACCATCCTGCCACCCCTGGAGGATGGAGGAAGCCAATGGGGGATGCAAGCACAGAGCTGTGATGACATTGGCAGCACAGGCGAAAAAGAAGGCACGGAGTTGGAACTGTGAGAGGGGCTTCCATGGAGCCTCAAGCTGTGAAATGCAAAGAACTATGTACATGGGTTAGATGACAGATTGAGCTTAGCCTAGGACTGATCTGGAATCATTGTAAAATGCTGGTCAAAAGAGGAAAATGATTGAATGTAATCATGGTTTGGATTTATTATGCTCTGAGTTTACTTTGGAGATGGGCTTATTTATACACACATTATAATGGCATTCTTATCCCTGACAGCAGGAATCTGCTAGCATCAACCATCTAGAGACTGCCCATGAGATATCACCAAACCTGAGAAGAAACTGTCAGAGGCTAGGCAGAGAGGCCAAAGAATCTGTTAAGTTTTGCTTCCTAAGGAAATATCCACATCACTTGTTACAGGCAGACACTGGATAGTATCGGGGGCTCTTTGGTAAATGATGCTCTTAACAAGTCTACTCCAAGTTACACAATCAAAAATAAGACAATAAATTGCTTCTAAGATTCACTTCATCATCATTAAAACATTTACTCAAAATCTAGATTCTGGATGAAGCCTAAGGCTGTCAAATTAGAATATGTCAGGACCAGATGGTTAAGTTAATTACCTCTGATCTAAAAATATGAGGGAGAATAAAAAATCTGTTTACTTACTCTTGACAGATTTTCCTGTGGAATTTCTTTGCTACTGTAAAACCACACTCTGCCTTGTTATAGACCAGCAAAAGGCAGTTTGTTTTCCAAATTGCACAAAAGTTTTAAAAAGAGTATCAACATGACTAGACTTTAATGTGTATGAGAGCAAAGTGAGGGGGGCAGAAGACCTTTAAATACATCACTGTCCTCGTAAGAAGTCACAGAGGGTCCATGAATTTTGTTCAGTGTAAGCAGACCCCGGGCTTGACTGTACCATTCTCATGCATTATGATTAATTATTCCACTTAACAAGGTTGAGTCCTCTGGATGACAATAAACATCTACAGAGTTGGGTCTTCAGGAGTCTTCTGATTCTCCCGACCCAACAACTCCCACTCCTTGTTCTCTGAGTAAACCTGGCCTCTATGTGTCTACCAGGTTGTCCCTCTTATCCAGCATATTTTCTCCCTTTTTCCTGTAGGATGAGTGGATAATATTACCATGGGATAAATCCAGCTTCAGTTTGTTTATTTGGGAAAGTGACTATAAAATATCTTTGAGTCTCAATTTTCTTTTTTGTTTTTCTTAAAATATAAGTTCCATTAAGGTAGATCATCTGGGGGAGGGGTTTTGTAATGAACAATGTTACATCAGCAGCCTAGAAAAGAACATAGCACTAGTACATGGAAGGTGTTCAAATATTTGTCGAACAAATAACTAGTCTGATAATATTGTACAGGGTTTATTTTAAATTGAGAGGTAGAGAAAGAGAGAGATCCCATCCACTAATTCACTTCCCAAATGTCTACAATGGTAAGGGCTGGGCAAGGTCAGAGCCAGATTTCCCAATAACCTAAGCCACCATCACTGTCTTCCACAATAGCAGGGGCTTGAATCAGGAGCTAGAACGGGGCACCAAACCCAGGTATCTACCAATATGGTATATGGGTATCTTCACCTTAACTTGTAAAGGCCAAATACCCATCCCTCCCCACTTAACAGGTCATTGAAAGGTTAGAAATAAACGATGAATAGAAGCTATTATTATGTATGAATTGAGATGCAGCACATGGCTTCCCAGACCACCCAATGTAAGCTAGTTGCTTCCTCCTCCTCTTGTTCTTACAAGGTTTCACACATCCCTCTGACACTATCACAACACTCTTGATAGTCATTGATTCCTGTTGACCATGGAAAGGGTGCTGCAAGAGCAACCATATGAAATCAGGAAGCAGTCTAGTGCTTTTGATGACTAGGCAGCAAGAGTGGTAAATGGGTAGTTAGGGGTACAGCATGGTCAGAGATGAACCTAGGGAGACTAGAGGGACCAGATCAGGTACATTACAGACCACAGAGAGTTCTGTGGGCTTTTCCTACACGAGATTGAAAGCTTAAAGAGGATCTTAGAAGGGGGAATAAAATAACATCCCATATGTGTTAAAGATAATTCTGGCTGCAGTATATAAAATGGGCTATTGAGAGACAAATATGGAGGAGAAAGACCAATTATAAGGTCCTTCTGCCCTGCTTGACATTTGTCAAAGCAATGGCCTAGAACAAGGTAGTAGCCATATCAGTGGTAAAGGTGGGTCTTGCACAATGGCTCAGTGGCTAAATTCTTGTCCTGCAAATGCGGGTGTCTCATACGGTCACGGGTTCCTATCCCAGCTGCTCCACTGCCCATCCAGCTCCCTGCATGTAGCCTGGGAAAACAGTTGAGGATGGCCCAGAGCCTTAGGACCCTGCATCCATGTGGGAGAATAGGAAGAAGCTCCTGGAATCGGATCGACTCGGCTCCAGCCATTACAGACCCTTGGGAGTGAACCAGTGGATGGAAGATCTTTGTCTCTCCTTTTCTTTGTAAATCTGCCTTGTGAATAAAAATAAATAAATCTTTAAAAAAAAGGTAAAAGTTAAGACATTCAAGACATGTTTTGGAGGTAGACTAATTAGGACTGGCTGAGGAGACTTAGGGAAAGGGGCAAATTAGGGCAGTGAAACACAATTTACTTTGAATAAAATGTTAACTGGATACTTGAGTAGGGGTGACAAAGATTAAGAACTATTAAACCAACTTAGGTTTGGAAATTCTGTACCTGTTTATCTGGATCCCTGCTTAACATGCATAACAAGAATTGGCTATATAAGGCTGAAGAAAAGTGAAGTTCAATTGCTTTGTAAAATAATTCTCCTTTATTATCAATTTGAGGATCATCCTAAGGAGTGTCTACATGCCAACCAGGCAAAAGATCAAGATGGGATGTCTATTTCCTAAAAATTCACTAGATGCCAGGTATTATACTGAGCAATTTGCTATGAACATAATAGCATTAAATTTTCACTTCATCCCTATGATATTGATAAAGAAACTGAGGCTCACAGAAAGTAAGGGACAAGTGACAGATTATAGCCCATAAACAGCGGTGACAGTATCTTAAGCTGGACAGTTTGAAGTTAGAGCCTTTTCACTATTGTATTATGTTGCCTCTGACACTAACTGAATATCTGAATATCAAGTGTATGTTACAAACAGTATGAACTACTGGGCAGATCCAGTTACATGTACTCTCAGTAGTAATATGTTAGAAATATACAAACCTTGTAGGAATAAACAACTTTGCAGGTAAGTGGGTAATTTCTTAAGGTGCCAGAAGGGCTGGAACTGCTGTCATCAAAAACATCCATGTTGTCTTCAAACTCTTCTCCTTCTTCTCTTTCGGAGTCTGCATTCAGCTAGAAAAATTTAGAAGCCAACAGCTGGTTTGCTTACTTTAAGAGAACAGTTGGAATAGGAAAAATCTTTAACATCTGATTATTTTAAAATGCTAATCTATTCAATGGCAGTAACTATCTGTTCTCATTTGCTTTTCTCGTGTTCTGAAAGCACAGAGCTTGCTTTACAATCAAATGTAAAACATCTTTCAAATGGGTACATAAAACATATTCATCAGTATCCATTTTCAGAAGGCTTCCCATCATTTTAAACTGATCTTATTAGGAAATCCTAAAAGGTTTTCTAATTTCTACCAAGAATGAAGAGAAACAGACTTTCATCCATGGCTGGGAGAACCATTAATCCACACATCCTTCTTGGAAAAATAACCTGTTTAAAACTAAAACATCCCACTTGATCTAATAATTCTATTTCTGTAAATCCATTATGGAAAGCAAAGTGAGCCAGATATAAATCCATATTCTAAAATAGTTACTGTAACTTCACTCACAATGGCAAAAGCCTGGAAACAACCTGTATGTCCATCAATGGAGGAAGGTTTGAATAAATTGTATTGTATATTTATATCATAGGTGAATAACAATTACTAAAAATGACTTTGGGAAAAAAGTTGAAGAATAAATCCTCATATAGATTGTTCAATGATTTCACAAGAGTGTCAAGACCATTCATTAGGGGAAGAAGACCTTTTCAATAACCGCTGCTGCAAAATCTAGATTTACACACGTGAAAGAATGAAGCTGGAGCACTGCTCATTCAGAAGTGAACTAAGGGCCCGGCGTGGTAGATTACAGCTAAAGTCTTTGCCTTGCATGTGCTGGGATCCCATATGGCCGCCAGTTCTAATCTTGGCAGTCTCGCTTCCCATCCAGCTCCCTGCTTGCGGCCAGCAAGCCAGTGGAGGATGGCCCAAAGCCTTGGGACCCTGCACCCATGTGTGACACCTAGAGGAAGTTCTGGCTCCTGACTTCAGATTGGCTCAGCAGTAGCTGCTGCAGCCACTTGGAGAGTGAATCAGTGGATGGAAGATCTTCCTCTCTCTGTGTCTCCTCCTCTCTGTGTATCTGACTTTGCAATAAAAATAAACAAAAAATAAAAGAACTAAATGGATCAAAGATCTGAACATAAGGGCTAAAACTACAGAAGTCTTGGAATAAAACAAAGGAGGAAAGCTTCATGACACTGGGTCTGGCAATGACACTAAAAGTCTAGGCAACAACAACAACAAAAATGTACGTTGAACTTTATCAAAATTAAATATTTTTGTGTATCAGAGGATAACAAGATGACAAGAGACAAGAAAACCCAGAAAATGGGAGACAATATTTGTAAGTTACTTTTCTAATTAGAGAATAATACATAGGTATATAAATAATGCCTAAAAGTCAACAAAAACAATGTAATTTTAAAAAATGGGCAAAGGATTTAAATAGATGTTCATCCAAAGCAGATATATGTACATGGTCAATAAACACATGAAAATATACCTGTCATCATTAATGAAAACAAAAAATATCACCCAATAGCTATTAGGATGACTATTAAAAAAGCAAAGAGAAAATGGTAACTATTGGCAATGCTGTAGAAAATCAGAACCCTTATCTGCTGGAAATATGATACAGCTGCTATAAAAAATAGTATGGTGCTTCCTCAATCAAAGAAACACAGAATTAATCATGTAATTCAGTAACTTCACTTCTGGGTATATGGTCAAAAGAACTGAAAGCATGGACTTGAATAGATATTTGTAAGCCAATGTTTATAGCGGTGCTGTTTACAGTAGCCAAAAGGGAAAAGTAACCCTAGTGTTTACAAACAGATGAGTGGATAAATGAAATAGGGCATGTGTGTATACATACAGATGAAATGCTATACACACATGTTATCAGTCTTAAAAAGGAGAAAATTCTATCCATTGCTATAACATGAATAATCAACTTCGAGGACATTATGTTAGGTTCAGAACGTCACAAAAAGACAAGTACTGTGATTCTACATGTGTGAGATTCCTAGAATAGCCAAATTCAGCGTCACAAAGTAAAATGGTCATTGTCAGGAGATGGTGGTGAGTAATGGGAAATTACTGTTTACTTGGTACAGATTCACTTCTGCAAGACAAAAAGATTTCTGTACATGGATAGTGAGAATGACTCCATAACATGAATATACTTAGTGACACTGAACTGCATAATAAAATGGCAAACCGTTATATTTTACCCAGCCCCTTCCCCTGCCAACATGCACATGACAGGCACAATCCCTTCTGAAATATAACATAAAACATAAGGAAGATAATGTTTTTAAGGCATATTACCCATATCACAGCTGAAAGACATTTATTAATTAAAATGAAATTGATGGTGAAAAAGAAGAGTTAGATCCACCTGTGTTTTTCTAGAACACTGACTGTGATACCCTAAATAGAACTAATACATTTATATTAGTATGGGCATCTGACAGGGGGAGGCAGAGTAAGAACAAAGACTGACAATAGGGGAAATGACTGACGTGTTTTTACAAACTTATGAACTCACTGAACTATTAAAATAAGTATATTTTACTTTTGAAACAAAAAATTCAGTCAGGAAAAAAAATCTCAAAATCTGTTTCTTGTTATATCTAAGCACTTATTTGTCTCCCTCACTCCTCATTTAATCATACAGAGTCATCAGTGCTTGCACACTGGATTACAAGGACTGGATGGGTTTGAGCCTCACATTAAAACATTCATTGAAGTATCAAATAGCGACCACATGTTGAACACTGTGTTAGCCTCTTTGATAGGTGAAAAATGAGCTGCTCTCTGTTCACAATCTGAGGGCAGCACGACCTCAATGAAATGCTAAGTGCAGGGTCCCTGTGAAGGTGGACAAGGCAACTAGAGAGGTGAGGCAGCAATCTCCTGGTACATAGTCAAAAAGCAGAGGCTGCCTATATCATCCAAAGTTTCAGTTTTCAAAACTTATGGGTTTTTTTTTTGAGTAATTGTCACTAATATCTTAAATTAATTTCTATTGTAACTGCTACTGTGCTAATAAGATTCTATAGCATTGTGGAGCTTCCAAAAGAAGCCATTTACATTTTATTAGCCACATTTATTACTTCTACCCAAAGCCCCTGCAGTATTCTTAACTTGTAACTATTATGAAAAATTCTCCACAGTTCAGTGAGGTTATCTTGTGCATTATCTTTTTTTTTTTTTTAAGATTTACTTGAAAGTCAGGGTTACAGAGAGGAAGTAGTACAAGGAGAGATATATTCTGTCTATTGGTGAACTCCCTAGAATGGCTGGGGCTGGGCCAGAGCAAAGCCAGGAATGAGAGGCTTCATCTGGGTGTCCTAAGTGGGTATAGGGAGTTTGGGTCATGCTCTAATGATTTTCTTAGGCAATCAACAGAGTTAGATCAGAAGTGGAACAGCCAGATGTGATCTGGCATCCTATGGGATGCTGGCATGCAGACAGTGGCTTTACGTGCTATGCCACAATGTTGGCCTCATGTCCCATCTTAAACTAACCATCCATGCTCAGTCTGGTTAGTGGCAAAATAGATTCACATTTCAACTCCCCTATTCTTAAATTTTCTTAAAATCTACTGTTTTCCAATGAAGCATCGTGTCACATAAAAGATAAGGATGACATTCTAGACATTGTCACAAATCTAACTTTAAATGCATTGCTATATATTTAGAAGATGTTGTTTTCATTTTCTAGGAAAGGTTAGACATTTAAAAAAATGTGGGTATTATAAAAAAAATAAAACTTGTGTATTTATAAAAATGTAGGCAGAACAGTTTCCAAAAATACATATACATGGAATGTTATCATGTACTGTGCTTTGGCACTGGGAATCCATCCAAGGCACTTTATCTTGGCAATACTGGTTGATAATGCAGATTCCTTTTATCTTGAGCTCGTTTTTTTTCTCCTGGAAAGGAATTACAGGGCTCACTGCCGTGTGCATCTGCATGGCTCCAGCAGCTCTAGTGTGTCATCATAGAACCACCTCGCTCTTTTTCTTCGTCCACTCCTGAAACCAAATTGCCACAAGCCTTCTTGACCCACTATTTCTAAAATCACGTTCTTCTGTTTCTAATACTGCTCTCAACCTGTTTTAATCCTTTCATTTGGCTGAACTTCAATTAAAACTATTCTTTGTAACTGTGCTAATATTTTTGATTCTTCTAATACTATAAAATGCTTACACTCTTATTCCAAAGAAGTACCTTTTTCAGTTGTTTTCAGCAACCATTTTTTGTGCTCAGCAGAATAAGCTCTGAAGGCTTCTTTAATTCTGAGGCGCTGTCATGAAGAGGGTGAGGGGTAGCGACGGTGGGTCCCAGACCCGCCAAACCCAGGCTGAATGCTGACTGCTGCTATTCTGTCAACTGGCTTTGGGAAAGTTAAATGCCATCAACTTAAATGCCATCACCTCATTTCCCTAATGAAGATAACTATTTCTTCACAAGGTTGCCATAAAGATTAGGCCCAGCAATGTGGCCTAGAGGCTAAAGTCCTCGCCTTGAATGCACCGGGATCCCATATGGGCGCCGGTTCTAATCCCAGCAGCTCCACTTCCCATCCAGCTCCCTGCTTGTGGCCTGGGAAAGCAGTAGAGGATGGCCCAAAGCTTTGGGATCCTGCACCCTGTGGGAGACCTGGAAGAAATTCCTGGCTCCTGGCTTCGGATCGGCATAGCATTGGCCATTGCGCTCACTTGGGGAGTGAATCATCAGACGGAAGATCTTCCTCTCTGTCTCTCCTCCTCTCTGTATATCTGACTTTCCAATAAATAAATAAATCTTAAAAAAAAGGATTAAATGAAGTATTAAGTTTAAACCCCAGAAAGTATAGAAAGAATTATCAGATTTTGTTGCTTTTACAAGGAAGAGAGAATCTAGATAAACAATCTAGTGACAGCTAAGATGGAGGAAGACAGCTCCAGGGGATTGATGTGGACAGCCTCTGAACTCCACCTTGGCAGAGAGGGCCATCCCCGAG